GATTTGTCGATGTAGATAAAGTAGCATACATTGGGCAACTATAAGTTATGGGTTTATAATTTCGTAATCTTTAAGCAAACTAATCCAATAAAATTCGTGTTACCATTTGGATACTTAATCAGCTAGGTTGCTCTAAACTTTAACTGAACTTTCCATAAGTCTTCTTTAAATTGTCTGGAAAAAACCCTAAGGTTGTCTTCTATGGGTTGTGATAATGGTTTCCTGCAATTTTCCACAGGCTACAGAAATCTATCCTGGTGAACTGCAGAAGCTTTCTGATGCATTGGAATTCCAGGAGAATGAATTGATGAATGCTCAGGAGAGATTGAGAGCATTGCGTGCAAAGCTAGCTGTGGTTGAGGGCAAAATGACCTTAGCAATGAGGTATGCAGGGCTTCATTTTTTCTCCGTGTACTCTGGATTGTAAAGAAACTTCATCACTTACTAAATGAATGACATGCTTTCCAGTGATTCACAAAAGATGGTGGAAGCAAAGCAGAAAAGGATTGATAGTGCCAATAAAGCTTTACAATTTATTCGGGATGTCCATATAGTTTGGCCTAGTGCTGCTTCAGAAGTTTATATCACAGGGTCCTTTGATGGTTGGGCAACTCAGGTATGATCCTATTCCATGAATTAGCTGATAGATGCTATTTGTACTTTTTTTTTATAGTTTCCCTTGATCAAAGTACATTGGTTTGAACCAGGAGCCAAGTCATAACTCCAAAACTTCAAATTTGTGGTGGGCCAGAAAAGTCTATCACTCAATCATATAATTTTTTATAGAAAAAAATAGCATGCAAAGAATTCCGGAACTTGGCGGCAATGCCCCCCCAAAAAAAAAAAACTGCTCCCTCGTGGAATTGTCCTAAACATGACTGCATAAATTCATAATTTTTTTTATCAATAAAATGCTAAATAAAGGTTCCTAGGAGTGCTTGCAAGTGCACACGGCACCTAGTTGGCCCAGTGCTAAAGAAGCATGGTTTATAACATTTCTCCTCAGCAAAGGCACACCTTATGTCAATTGTTTAGGTGTCTAGGCGATTCCTACAATAATGGCTTGAACTTTATTGTAGGACACTTTAGCAATTGTTTAAGTAATGCATGCATAAGGATGTTGGCATATTTATTGAAGTTTTTATAAGAATTGTCTTTTCTAGAATGATAGAGTACCTACTTTTGTTTCCCTTGCGGTGGGGTGACACTAGATGCCATTGTGATTTGGGGAACTGCACCAATCTTTTGGAGTGTCAGGGAAATTATTTGTTTGTTTCATGCAACCTCATTCTGATATTTTTGCCTAAAAGTAGTTTCCATTTTTTAAATGTTTAGTTTAACAAGGTGTTGTATCCAAATTAGGGGGAAACTAAAAAAGAAATATACAATATGTGTGCAGTATGGTTTTTCCGGTTTTGTTTGATGCAATTATGCAAATTTATTCTATCCTTCTCACTCTTTACCAAACCCCCATCAGTCTATCACACTAACAATATAATAATGTAAGGTACTTTTGGAAAAAAACATGAATTCTGGCAAAGTGATTTGAAGGAAATATTTGGTGATATCTTATTTCAGATAGATTGATGGGTTATAAGGTGATTGCTCCTTCATATTTAAGTGATTTGTTTTTCTCTTACTAAGAAAAGATAAAGGTATACCAATGGTCTTGAACTAATGCTGTCTCTGTCTCCAAAGTAGTCATGTTTCTTATACCAAAACATACTGTGCATTACAAATTTTAACTGTCTTGTATGGTTGGAGAGAGTGTATGGTAGCATGATATGTGGCATTTGGTTGCAGAGGAAGATGGAGAAATCTAGTGCAGGTATTTTTTCTGCGCGCTTGAAGCTTTATCCTGGCAGATATGAGGTATGTTGCTTCTCCGAAAGTGGTACAGTAATGTCAACAATCGGCATTATACACACACACATACATACACACACACATGCTGACATGCATGTATGTATGTATATACTCCACACTCACACACACACCTCCCAAAGAAAGGATAAGAAAAGAGTCCTGCTTTGATAAGGCACTAAGACACTAACTTCCTAATATTGGAAAGTTATGATTGCCATAGATCATAATTTTTTTCCATGTTTTGTCTTGACTCTTTTCAAAACAACAAAAACCTTTATAATCCCAACCCCGTGGCGGGTTGCGTTAGACCCATGATGCATTGTTGCATTTCATACCCAAACTTTCATATGATGTAATAAGAAGCAAAGGAAGTCTAATATTCTAGTTTGATTTAGCCCATTATTTACAGGAGCCAAAACATTGTTAATAGTGAGTATTTTAGCTCCATTTCAATGGATGCACACTCTTTTCTGAAAGTTACACAAAAGATACTTTGCTTGATTGACTTTTTTTTGGGACAAAAAGGTGTTCAAAACACGGGCTCCTTTTTTTAAAAAAATATTTTTTTTTCTTCTAGGGGGGTGGGGTGGATTACTATATCGTTAGCATTTCATAAATTCATTTTCTTTGCAGATCAAATTCATTGTTGATGGCGAATGGAGGATTGATCCTTTGCGCCCCACCACCCATAGCAATGGATACGAAAACAACCAACTCATCATCACATGAAAGCAAAACCCAACCTCGGAAGTAAACTTTGAATTCAACCATTGTTGGTGCGAATACTTATTTCGCGCGATGTTTTCACACTAAGAGGGTGTTTGGTGGCGATGGAACTGATTTGGATGACATCACAGCCAAATGCCTTCTTAGAAAATCACGTCCGAACTGATTTTTTTTCTCTAACTTATTTGTAGCACACTTACCAATGTATGTCTAGTTTGGTCCTCCATTATTGAAGTCTAATACTACCAGTGCTATTGATGCGCCAAAGTCTCTTGTTGCTATTTCTGCATGTGTTCTCATAGTTTGTGAAGCCCATGTTCCCATTGGTCTTCTAGCTGTGAAAGGAAATTAAAAGAAGTGCTATGAAAAATTGAAAACCAAAAGCATTTTAGTCCAACTATACTAAATCAATTCCATAAAAGTAGTCATTATTTGTCAAGGAAAAATAACTAATTCATTCCTGGTGATTTCAAGCATAACAAAATTCTAAAAGATGAGTTAAAAATGTAATTTTATTTATTCAGATCTATGATTTATGTCATTAGATATGATTAAATAGAATTCAGGGCACGAATGCAGTGTTAATCGAATTTATACCATGAGGTGGAGGATTCCTTGTGTAAAAATTTAATATTTTGCAAATATTTCTATTTTAAAAGTAAATGATTGACAATACAAATATGCTTTTTATGCATATCAAAATCAAAGTTTTGTCAAATATTTAATGAAATCGCGTAAACAAAAGTTATCGAGAGGAGGGAAATATCAAAATTGTAATCAAATTGGGGATTGAGGGAGTATATATTTACTTAACTAAAGTTCAAAGTTTTTCCAGTTTAATCCAAAAAAGCATCAAATTGAATAAATACATAGAGATGATGATAGTATGTAATACTTCCTTAGTCACAAAAACATCTTCACACTTTACTATTCAAAAATTATGAAAATTTACATAGTGGTGCTTTTATTTATTCTCATAGTTTTTATGCAATTTTTGGATATGTAAATTTTATTTTTTAATTAATTTTATATTACTCCGTATTCTTTAAATCAAATAATATGAAAAAAAATGAATTTCTACTTCACTTTGCTTAAAATATTAAATACGGACTAATTTGAATTGAGACAAAGGGACTTAGAAGTTAGAAGCAATCACACACGCAAATACTAAAAGTCGTAGCACAGTGCAAGTGTCCATGCACGATTCTAAGCTTGTCATATTACCAAGTCCAAGCTTATTCTATACAAGGACCCACATAAAACTTACAAAAAGTAAAAAGTGTCATTAAATCTATAAGAGAACACTTAAAATGTGTGCTTATACCGTCTGTCACGTGTCCTTTTTTATACTTAGGACACTATTTTTATAATTTTAAGAACTTCATAAAAGTGTCCTTAGATTTATAACATACTCCCCCCGTCTCAGAATATTTATCCATTTTTATTTTTACACATCATCCAATACATTTCTTTAATCCATTTTACCTTGTAATTTGTATATTAAAAAATTATAGAAATTATATATTAATAATCTATATGTTAATGACTATATTTAAACTTACACATTGAGAGAATTTGATGAGTCAAAGTGCTTAGATGAACAGTTCCAAAAGTCAAAACTGGACGAATACTCCGGAACGGAGGGAGTATTATTTTTTGTCCTTTTTTTGAGTTTTTTCTATGCCATCATATACTTTGCATCTCTACGAAGCTTACCAAAGTCTTAAATTAATAAAATAAATCTATATTAACATATCCATGTGCTCTTTTGTCTATAAGAATACAAGTTGTGTCATAACAAATACTTTGTACAATACATTCTTAAAGAGATGAAAAAACCTACTGTATAAAGTAAAAGTACAACCCAAGAATATCTAATTACAAACCTAAATTATTTACTAATTTCTATGCCATATGGGTTACTGGCAAGATGCTTGCAGGATGAATCTTCAAAGGTATTGGTAAACCTGATCCAAAGCTACTGGAAGAAATTAGATATGCCACTTTGGTATGTATAGCTAAGCACTTCCCTTGCAGCAGACTAGCTCTATTTCTAGTCAACAATTTGTTTATGCCAATTAGCAGATCATCATCAACAACATAAAGTCTAGTCTGTCATGTGAACAAATTGATTTGAGCAAATTGGACATCCTCTGAATTCTCGCAATGCAATCTGAACTGCAAACAGAAAGACCATTACGCAACTAAGTATTAAAAAATTCCCAAAGTAACAAAAAGTATAAAAAAATCCTGTAACCATAAAAACGAAAGGAAACTAAAGGAACAACAGATCTCATAAATAAAGACCTGAAACTTCTATCTAATATATAGATGAATTAGATGACCTGATCACGGCTCAAAAAGCGATCAACCTCTTCTTTAGAAAAATAAAAGATGAGGACAAATTCTGGTAGAATTTCAATTTATTTGCAAGTCATAAATGCAAGAGTACCTCATAAAAATTTACATGAAAACTTACAACACCTTCAAAAGCTTCATGATGTTCTTTATTTCGAAGGAAGCCATCAATAAGAAACTTGTTCTTTTCTCGTGAATTGCACATTGGAGGAGAATAATATTACTTCAGAGGGTACAATCTTTCCTTCCTTGATCAAATTCTGAATCATTGTATTATACCTGAAAGGTAAAAAAGATACCATTAAGTAGATACCATTCAGATTTCTAAAATGACTAAAACATTATAAGAATCTGCCAAAACACTAAAATGACTAAACAAAATGTAGAAGAAAAAGCTTTCATAAGGGAAATGTTTTTAGAAACATAAGTTCTATGAATAATATATGGAGTAATGTTTAAACAACAAAATTACAAAACATAAAGATACCAAAAGAAAGAATCGACCAATGCAGATATCAAATTCTGGTAGTAATATCATCACTTCCAAATGTAGAGGACTTTTGTAAGGGAAGAATCCTTTGGCCAAATAATAAGGTTATTCTTTGATGGAGTGGCATTAGTCGTTTGAGCAACAACTAGTTCAACTTCTTCTCAAGGGTCAAGACGAAGACCAATGTACTTTATCACTACAATCTGTAGTTAGTAAACTTCATTATCTTGTACCAAGGCATTACTTAGTTTAGCTATAGGAGGATCAGAAAAAGTGTAATCGTTTCATTTTGCATAAACAAAACTGTAGGTAGGGCCTACATTTTGAAAAGAATCGAAGGCAACTCCACACCTGTAGCTACTGGATTCATAGTAGCATCAGTAAAAGGGGGTGGCATAACAGGATCCAAAGAAGGATTTATAAATTGAGGAACAACATCCCCAATACCATTTGTATTAGTAGTTTCCTGCTCCTAATGGGGTTAGATTTTCTTCATTATGCCTGGAGTAGGGGCAGTAAGCCCATTCCTGACCCATTTCGGAGATCCACCCTTTAGGAGGAAACTTACATTTACAGTGGGTATTAGAGTTTCCATTTAATCTGCACAAAAAGAAAAAATCCAGAAGTGATTAATAATTGATCCATTTTTAAAAGGATTAATACATACAAATTTTGGAAGATCTCGAGATAAATTAACTTCCACACATATGCAACTTAGAGAAGGTCTGGCCAAGGAAAAAGTTGATGCACTTACCGTCAAAGGTGTTCGAATCGGAAATCCCCAAGTCTAATCTAGATTGGAAACAAATTTTATAGTTGAAAGTAGAGAATAGACTAGGTGTTCTTAATCAGACATCTAAGAAAATCATCGCATCAGGAGAAAGTAATTAGTGTGTGAGCATCGTCTAGTTGACAAGTGAAAAATCTGCTTTAAAACCAATTGCATTTAGGGATTTATGGATAAAGACCATATTTAATCTTCCATCAGTACACCGACCCACAAAAGAGCTATCAAAACGGTAGGCAAGAACCCTAATTTCTTCCTCGGTAAAATAGATTAAGGAGTTACCTTTGACTAAGCCAGCCATGGAGTTTCGGAGGGTAACCAGACATTCTTACTAGAAAGCACCTTGGCGAATGAATTGTAAGAGGCCAGAGAAGACGGAAAATTAGACGAAGAAGCCAATTATCAGATCTAAATCGGCGGATAGAAACCCTAGAGAGAGATGCGGTGTAGACTTCATTTTCATACTCCCTATAATCTTTACGATATTTGAAGGTGCTTCAGGACACATAAAATTTACTCCGTATAAATTTGTATTTTAATCATAGGTGTCTTAAAAAAGTTTTAATGACACATTCTAAATTGAGTGTCCTTAATTAGTGTCCTTGTATCCTTATTTTCTTGTAGTGATTCAATGCACCCCAAGTCCCCAACCATCCAAGGGAAAATAAAAAAATATAATGAAAAAGTTTAAAGCAAACCAGGCTCCAAGCTAAGTAGGCTAGCTTGAGCAAGGACTGAGTCAGAATGTACTCCGACCCACTGTTTATTTACTCCGCATTTATTGCGGAATTATTTGTTCTTAGTACGTTGAGAAGAAGCTCCTGATCGAAAGGGGTCTGGGGGCCTATTCCTTGCTCAATCCCAATCTTGAGTCCATCTCCACGAAAAGGTGACGCGTGCCCTGTTGCACAATCCCCTCCGGATATGAAGCTTGATAATCTCCCCGGCCATTCGGGGCATATTCGGGATGCGTGAGCGTTCCTGTAAAATTTTATGCAAACCAAAAAAGTTTTATTCATCACAAATATCAAATAGAGGCTGTATTTCGGTCCCTCTGTGCTAAAAAGAGGGACAATTTTGATTTTTTCGGATCAAACCGGGATACTCTTTAACCATAAATTAAAATTTTTTTTAGTTATTATAATATAAATTTAACAAACTGAGTTCAATTTCAACTAGACAAAGGTAACATAGTTCAACTTATAACTATGTTCAACTGATCATTTACTCGCTTTGAAGATTCGTTTCACATAATGAAACTCAATCGACCAACGTACGAATTAGAGTTAGTCTATGAGCTAGTGAGTAAAGCCAGATGAACGTAATTTATCAGTATATGAAATTTGATTTAATCAGATTTACAAAGGGAAATTTACTTAAATAGCACTAAAACATAACGATTTTTCCTAAATAGCATCACATGTGTTTTTTCCAAGGCACTTTTGATCAATAGTCATTATCCATTAGTCATTATTATTCAAGTATATATTCGTCATCAGTGAACATTATAGTCATTATTAAGTGCTATTTAAGAAATAAAACAATTAAAGTATTATTTAGAGAAATATCTTAAATTTTAGTGTTATTTAGTGCAAATATTTCATTTAAAAATGTACAAAGTAATACGTATCCCGCAAATTAGATTGTACCTGTGAAGACAGTACGGTGAAAGTGGGGGACACCCTTGGCTTTGCCACTGAAGATTAGGTCCCTGTTCTCGCCCTCCGACGACTCCGTGACGAGGACATGGCCGCTTCCCTTGTCCAGCGCGCTTTTGACTTCGACTCTGGGGTGGTCGCGGTGGTAGATGTCGATCATCTTGTCGGTGAACGACTCGGCCATGGTGTGCAGGACCACCGCCGTGGCGGGCTCGGAGTACTCGGCGAAGATAGAGGACGATGTCGCAAACGGAGCTCTCGAGCAAGTTGCCGAGGGACTGCCAGTGGTTCAGCCAGTCGCGCTCGGTGTAGGCGATGCCGGCTCGTTTGAGAGAGTATACAGTGCCGACCAAAGGAATGTATTCCACTACGGAGTACGCCACCTCCTCGAGTTCGGTGCACCACGTCATGGCTGCAGCCTGGCTGGCTTGTGTCTCTTGGGATATATATTAAGAGGATTTTATTAGATTGGTTTGGCCTTGCTGCGTGCCCATGATATATATACGAGGAGGAGGGAGGTTAGGTGATTTCAAACATAATAATGTGTTGGTTGATGAGGTAAAAAGAGGCTCGTAGTTCTATATATTTTAATCAATTGTTTATGTCATTAATTATGGTGGTTTGACATGTAGGGCACGAATACTGTGTTAATAGACTTTGGAGCCGCACGCCCTGAGGGTGAACTTTTATACTTAGGTGAAAGTGTGTTTGCCCGGCCTTTACCCTGTGAGTATTTTTATTTATTTCCATATTTATAATTAAGCAAACAAAGCAACTATTTCTCATTTCTCTCTTCTTTTTTTTTCTATAGCTGCTTTTTTGGGGTACGCGCGGGCCCTCACCGTATGAAATGTGTTCATTGAAGGGATGACATATACGCCATTGGGGTGTGCATTCTTCATTTTTGAAGCAACTAAATAGTATTTTAGGTTTGGGGGGACGGGGGTGGGTGGTGGTCAACACGCATGAGTTGTAGCAAAAATCAAAACACCCTCCGCAATAACAATTTAGAGTACGGAAGTTAGATCAACAAACTAAGGTGAGATGTAGGTAATCATTATCATTGGGTGGCACTCTCGACTGCAAAATTGAGAGAAATGGTCGTGACTGGAAAATCGTGGATGGACGATGATAAAATCTTTATCCCGAGTCTAGTACATGACAATGAATCTAAAAAAGAAGATAGAAGCAAGCTTCTAGACATGGCACTAGCGTGTGTAGGATTCTCAGTGGATGAAGAGAAGGAATGTCCGTATTCCTACCAAGTTGCAGATGATTTAAACTCGTTGATCGAGAGTGCCACCCAATGATAATGATTACATGCATCTCACCTTAGTTTGTGTTCTTTTAATCTGACTTTCGTACTCTAAATTGTTATTGCGGAGGGTGTTTTGATTTTTGCTACAACTCATACGTGTTGACCACCACCCACCCCCCGTCCCCCCAAACCTAAAATACTGTTTAGTTGCCCCAAAAATGAAGAATACTCACCACAATGGCGTATATGTCATCCCTTCTATGAACACATTTAATACGGTGGGGGCCCGCGCGTACCCAAAAAAAGCAGCTATAGAAAAAAAAGAGAGAAATGAGAAATAGTTGCTTTGTTTGCTTAATTATAAATATGGAAATAAATAAATAAAAATACTCACAGGGTAAAGGCCGGACAAACACACTTTCACCCAAGTATAAAAATTCACCCTCTGGGCGTGCGGCTCCAAAGTCTATTAACACAGTATTTGTGCCCTACATGTCAAACCACCATAATTAATGACATAAACAATTAATTAAATTATATAGAACTACGAGCATCTTTTTACCTCATCAACCAACACATTATTATGTTTGAAATCACCATGAACCGTTCGGCGTCGATCATCATGTGATGAGATGCAATGAAACACATACGTCACGGACTTTAGAATCACTAATGTCTGCCTCCAATTCAATCTATTTTCTGCATGAAACCATATTAGATTATGTTATACCTCTCAATGAACCAAAAGCTTTGTCGACTATAGCTAATTTAATTGGACAACCTCTTAAAATGGATAGTGCCACTTCTCAACTCACTCCACCACCTTTTTTGCTAGGGTGTGTGTTGAGGTGGGCCTATGAAAAGAACTCTCCAAGTCTTTCAGGTTGCACCTAGGGAGGCTTTCTTAGCTTCAACCAATCTATTACAAGGATTTGCCTAGTTTTTGCACTTCTTGTAGGAAGTATGGCGACAAGAACTGGCCATCCTCAAGATGGAGGAGGGAAGGTAAAGAAGAGGTTCACGCTACAACTAGATAACCTACTGCTATTGCCAGTCCCACAAATGTTTTGAAGAATGCCCTGCACTGTTTCATGCATCTAATGTTACTGAAAGTGGCGGGTGGGCTGAAGGTCACTAGGTCTAAGCCTACTGTTGCTGCTCATGTGTCTAAACATGGCTTTGGTGACTCGGAACCTGTGGATGAAAAAAATTATTCCCATATGATATAGCAGGTGAATGCTGCTTCTAAAGATGCCCCTACAATTGCTGAATACTGCCCCAAAGATTCCAGTGACAAGAATGAATCTAAAATAGTTCAAAAGGCCATTCTCGCCCATGCCAAACTGAAGATAAACACACTGCCACTGGGGTTAATTTGGTTTTTACGGCTGCAAAACCCAATGAGGATCAGGTGGCTTACCAAACGTAACAAACAATACTTTCTTTCGAAAAAAGAAAAACAAACAAACAAACAATACTTCCTTCACCCACCCCCCAAACTCCCAAGGAAATTCTGCAAATGCTTTAACAAAAGCTGAAAAAAAGGCTGGTGTCCATTCGCCTCCAACTAAAAAGTCCCTTGAAAACTCTTATACTTCAAAAGCAAATGATGAGAACCCTTCAATACATCCACAAATGAAGTACCAGCAAACAATACACACAATCAACACTTGAAAGCTTTGAAATCTAAAAAATATATACTTACCATCAACAAGTTGCTGGAGTTGAACTCCGTGAAAGGGCATGATGAGATACGCACTGTCAGGATCGTAAGAGGATGCACACAATCTTATGATGTTAGGCTATATCAATTTCCCCAGATAACCAATTTCATTCTGCAAAATGAATGTCAAACCATTAGCCCGTTTCACTGACAACAAAAATACACTTTGCATTATATACAAATAGGAAGATTACCAATATTTCCCCATGTCCTTTATTGTCCAAATTCGTTTTCAACGCATAAATCCCATGAGGTAAACCCAAAGGATTCTCTTCAGATATTATAAGTTTATATACTTTACCATAACCCCCCCTTGCAAACTCGGTAAAGTCATGCCATGAGCTGTAGTCTTCCAAAAAAGACTTCATTAAGTCGTGATCTACACTCACCGCTGCATTTCATATAGAGTAATATTTATAGCATAAAATATCAAACCACAACACAATGAGTACAAATTTAAAAGATTCAACAACTCACGACATGGCTTGACAAATTTTGCAAGGAACCTATCGGTATGGCCGACTAGATTAGAGAATCTCGCAATAAGGTCCATCGGTTTTTGCTGAAATATTGTAAATTCAAAATTGGTTAATACAATTATCAATCTAAGAAATGCAATAACAATACGGAGTATATCTTTGTGCTTCTGACACTAAATTGGAAATCTACACCCCTAACTCGCCACTAAAGGTGGACCCACATTGAGTCCGATGGGGTGCCATGACCCCACATAGGATCCTATGTGTATTGAGCAAGTTAATGGCAATAGTGGTTTTGCAACAATAAGCGGCATAGTAAATGGCTCTGGTACAAGGCAACGGGCCGGGACATATTACTGCATTTCGAGACTTGTGAATTTGGGTTCAATTCTCTCCCAGTTCTATTTCTTTTTTAAATTAGTCCCTCTTTCTTTTTTAAAAGTGAAATTGGTACTAAATAATACTAAAAATAAGTTTTTTCCCGATGTTGTACCAAAAGTTTTTTATTCCTAAAATAGTACTCCCTCTGTCCTAAAATTAATTTCTCATTTTGACTTTTGCAATCAAAGTTTTTAAACTTTGACTGTATATTACGGAAAAAATATATTGAATTTTCATATAAATTTAGTATCAATAGATTCATAATGAAACATAGTTTTGAAATATATCATTTTGATAATATATATTCATATAAAAATGGAGATATAAATGGTCAAAGTGTTGCATTGGAGACCGTGAAAAATTAAACGGGAAGTTAATTTTAGGACGGAGGGAGTACTTAATTATAGACATTCATCTCAAACAATGTCTAATGACAGTGGACATTGAACAATGGTGGCGGTGGACACTGAACAGTGCCGACAATGAACATTTACACTATGTTTGGTTCAAGGAATTCAAAAGAGAAAAGAAAAGAAAATGAAGTGGAAAACAAGTTTTCTTGTTTGGTTAGAAAGGAAAAGTGGAAGGAAAAGAGAATGAGAAGGCAAAATGTACCAAGTGAATGGAAAACCAAAATCCTCCCATTTTGGTGAGAAAAAATGAGAGAAAACCATTTTCTTTTCTTTTCCTTCAAAATTCCTTGAACCAAACATAGTGTTAAGAGTACAGGGGTGGCGGCGGATAGTGGACATTATACAATGGACAGTGGTAGCGGTAAAAATTGAATTGCAGTGGCGATGGACATTGAACAATTGTACTAATTAGATACAAAATAGAGAAATTAAAACATATGTATTAAACAGGAAAAATACTATATTTTAGTACTATATAAGTAAATTTTCCTTTTTTAAAGGTCGTATTTCTTGATAATGTTTTTTTGCTCTAGACTTTTTTATACTTCCTTCAAACACAATTGAAAAAATTAAAAATTACAATTCAATTTTAAAATTTCTTACTTGGATGTGGTAGAGAGAAATAATAACTACATTTTTTATAATACCCGTATTTACCTTTTTAATAGTAAGAAATAGTACTTTATACTAGTAAGAGATTGGTCTAAAGACTAGGACTAGCCCAAAACACTAGTCCTCTAGAGTCTAATTATATTGCTTGTAAATTACAAAGTATAAAGCGAGTAATAAATACCGAGTAGTATGTATAAAAATCTTGAAAAAATAATATAGAGTAATACAAATTAGAAATGATTAATACTTCTCAACTTCCCCTTGTTGGGACTGCCGTGGCTATAACTTCACGGGACACACCGCTTGACCTTCTCTCGTCGGGAAGACTTTCGACACAAGGCACCACCTGCGGATCCTCTTTCTTGGTCTTGGTCCTATTGTTACACTGTCACACCAAGATTTTTCCACACAGCACGGTCCGCTGCTCACGCCCACAAGAACCTGGGCTCTGATACCACATGTTAGGACTGCGCGTGCCCTCACCCCAACCCTGCATTAGTATGATATTGTCTGCTCTGGGCCAAGCCCTCACGGATTTGTTTTAGGGCACCTCCCAAAAGGCCTCATACTAATAGGGTTGGGTGAACCTATATATTTTGGTTCATTTACTCCTAAGCATCCAATGTGGGACTTGGAGGAATCCCAACACCCCTATCCCCTAAATATTTTCTAAAGTTTCAAGATAAACTCAAATGTTACCACAGTCCTAGAGGAGTAGAGCTAGCCCCTAGAGATGTCCCTAGAGAATCAGCAATTGAGCGAGCGAAGTGCAACATGCAATCTCAACCGATGCGAAAAGAGTTGATGAACTATTTGGTAACCCCGGAACAACATTGCAAACTGGAATCTTGACCCAATATGTTGGGACTAGAGACTGGACCGGATTGGACTACCAACCAGACTAGAATGGACTATTGGTCTTATTTGCTCTTTGATTTTGATAAGAAAACCGAACTAGTTAGGACCGGTTTTTAAAAAGACTAGTCCGGTCCAGCCCTTTAATCAAAAGGACCGCATCGGTCCTTTTGCTCATCTTTAATCAAAAAGCTCATAATCTTTGGAGCTTTGTGGATCCCGCTTGACGAGGAGCTAAAGATGTAGCTCATAGAAGAGATCAATTGGTGTTGTCACAAATTCTTCAAGGCATTGATCAATTAGTTTTTTGGCAAAGTAATTGATGCAAAAACTGCGAAAGAAGCATGGGAGACATTGATTCTGTCAAACAAAGGTGTTGAAAAGGTGTAGAAATCAAAGCTGCAGTCCTTGCAAAGAGAATATGAAAAGTTTGAGATGACCAGCTCAGAAACTATTGAGCATTATTTTTCTTGTGTTATTGATATTATCAATAAAATGAGAATCTACGAGGAAGATATTTTAGATAGTAAAGTGGTTGAAAAGATTCTATTCACTTTGTCGATGAAATATGATCATGTATGTGGTGACTAGGATATTAGAGTCCCACGACACCATGGAAAGTCATGTTAACGAAAATTTAGAGAAAACGGAAAACTAAACAGAAGAAGCCTTGAAGACCCATGCAGATCAAGATAATCAAATAGAATAAAGTTATGATGCTGAAGTGAGAGGTCATGCATGCCTACAATAATAGAAGTAGAGGAAGAGGAAATTTCAGAGTCAAAATTTTTAAGAGGAAGAGGTCGTAGTAATAACTACAACCTGCAAGGAAGAGATAACAACTTCAGATCACCTGGTCACAGAAGAGGTGGAAACTATGGATTTTCAAGAAGACAAGAAAGAACAAGTTTCAAATCCTACAACTGTGGAATCTATGGTCACAATTTTGCTGACTGTAGATATAGACAAAAAGGTCAGAATAATTTCCACAATCAAGCAAGTGTTGCCGAAGATCAAAATACTAGTGAGAATTCTAATCCAGAAACTTTACTCTTTGCAAGTAATTAGCTTGATGTGAATGAAAATACATGGGATCTTGATACTGGTTGCAGTAAGCATATGAGTGGCAGAAATAATTTATTTTCTTCACTTAATGAATTTGTCAAATCATTTGTAAATACAAGTATTTTCATTTCTTAATAGAAGTATGCTAGCAATATTTTGAAGAAGTTCCAGTTAGAGAATTCAAACCCAGTCTCCACTCCAGTTGAAGAAAAGATGAAGCTGATAAGGGAAAATAACAAGAGATCTGTAGATTCAAAAAACTACAAGAGTATTGTTGGAAGTTTAAGGTATTTGACTGCAACAGGACCAGACATTGTTTTAAATAATGTTTGAATTAAATGTTTTGAAAATTATTGTGTCTAATGGGGTTGAAAAAAGAAAGGAAAATGGTTTTAAGGAGCAAAGGAGTAAAGAGAGAATTTATGAATTTGAAAAATCATTTCGAGGGCATATTTTGAGAGTTCATTCAAAAATACTAGAATTTTAAGTTTAATTAATTGGGGAAGTTAGCTATGAATACTAGAGAAAAAATGTAATCACAACTAAAGAGACGGGGCCTAATCACTCTCAATTGATAGATCAGCCTCAAAACTAACCATGTTGTGACGAGCCAAGAGAGTGTATGTGGTAAATCGAACGTCAACCAGCGACGGAATTAAACCCTCCCTACACACAGAGAGAGAAAATAAATAAAAACAAAAAATATTTAGATTTTATTTGTTTAGTTATTTGGTGAATATCACCTCATGATTATATGTATACTTACTCTGAGAAAAGAGAAAAATCTCTTAATGCATTCGAAAGTGTCTTCAATGCTTCCTTGAAATTCTATAAAAACCAAGAATTAGAACTTCATTAATAGCTATCAGTATACACTCAAATTGATAAGTTTATGGCCAATGTCATTAAAATTAAAATCTGCAAATACCGTCACCTCAAAACTCTCTGCTGATACTTCATGGTTGTGGTACAGTGACCTCAGGAAAAAACGAAGGCTTCCATTGCCTCATCGCAGTGCTCTCTAGATGGAGATAGATTCCCTGCCAAATTCTCCAGCAGGAACACTTCACCCGTTGACCTAAGTCGAGAATCTTAAAATAAAGAAAATTTAATTATAAAATAATCAAGCAAATTTAAATAGAGATAGATGTTGAGTTTTGTGTGTAAGAATTACTTGCACTTACATTGGTTAATAGCCCCACTTGTCGTGTATGATAATTCGAAATTTGCATTGGTGTATTTTTTGTACACCCAAATCTCATACGAGTTGGACTCAAGGTCAGGGAGGTCACCTTCATTTTTGCGTCAAAGCCGAATAGAATGACTTCATCCAGCCTTCAATATTTAAACAACCAGTTAAAAAAAAATTTACTTTTTGAAGTGGTAAATATATGTTATGTTTTTCTTAAAACCCCAATAAAGGAAAATAAAAAATAAAAGAAAAAAAAAGATCTAAGGAGAAGAAATGCATACTCATCACCAGGGGGCTGTGGTGGCCCTGGAAGGGCCTGTAGTAGACCTGCCGGAGGCAGCCCTGGAGCCGGAGGCGGCCCTGCAGCCGGAGGCGGCTCTGCAGCAGGAGGCTGCCCTTCAGCCGGAGGTGGCCCTGCAGCAGGAGGCTGCCCTGCAGCCGGAGGGGGGGTCGGATGTGGGAGCGGAGGTGGGGAATTCATGTTTCCTTGAGTTAGAGAAATGTTAGGGTTTTTTTAGGCAAGTGAGCTTAAGTTAACGGTAGGGTGTCCAAATAAAACTCCAGAGAAGTACGGAGTAATATTCTCGAGAATGATGAGGGTAATAGTCGATGTAATGTGGTATGGCCGTGTGTCAGGTAATTTTTTTGGAAAATGGTAGGGGTATACCAAAATTCTACCCAAGCATCCCCACCTCCTCTATCACCACAAAAAAAAGCGAGAAAACTTAAAAAAAAATTAAAAACAAAATAAAATGAATGGTAAAGAGAAAGTGGTTTACATTTGGGATACACATTTAGTCTAACCTTAGCATATCCCAATTTTTTTTAAATGATTGGCGGAGTGTTTCATAAGTATCACCACCACCTCAACGTAAAAATAAATGTCTAAAAAATTACGGAGTACTCCGTATCTTATACTACGTAAATGACAATTGATATCTACACTTCATATTTTACTAATTGCACTCCATTTTTTTATTTTTAAAAAGATTGATAATTTTGTCCTTTCAATTACAAATACCTCATTTCATCATCTCTTTACATCATTAATATTTGAAGAATTTTTGTTAATAGCACTAAAACATAATGATTTTCTCTAAATTGCAGTACATGTGTTTTTGTTTCCAATATAGCAATTTTACTCATCATCCATTAGTTATTATTCAAGTAAAATTTTGTCATCACTGATCATTATTAGGTGCTATTTAGGGAATAAAACAACTTAAGTATTATTTTAGAGAAATGACTTAAGTTTTAGTTCTGTTTAGTACAAATATTTCTTAATATTTATATTAACTATTTAACAAAATTTATAATTTTGAGGATTAAATTATACTAATTTATACTTATTTTTAGGGAAATACTTATTTAACAAATTTTATAATATTGATGTAATTTTTGTTTTTGTATTTAGAAACACACCAAATAATTATTTTAATTAGTGCACCGCATCATAAAGTCATAAAATAAAATTAAATATAATACAATTAATTGAAAATAAACTTTTCTCAATCTCTGTATTAAGTTAAATCGAAAATGAAATTATTTGGAGTATTTTTTACTCTTACGTACTCTCTTATGCATGTAGAGGAAGGTGCATGCGGGGTTGGCGGGGTTGGGGGTGAGGAGGAACACAGTAAGTTTTTGGATTAAGCTTTTTGTACCCCAATTTCTAAATCACATGTGTGGACCTTTATTTTGAGTCAGTGTAATACTAGGGTGATAGTTCATATAGACACAAAATGCACTACAAAAAAATGACTTTTTGTGGCTAAGTTTTAGTAGCAAAGTTAATAATTGCCACAATACATGAAATTCATAGGTTACTATTGGTAGGAAATTAGATTTTTTACATTCCCTATGATTAACACAATCTTTAAAATTTTAGCTACAAGCAAAGAAACCAGATTCAGATGAGTGTGATGAAGAGAATCTATCAGAAACTGAACACGTGGAAGACAAACCATACTATTTGGCCCTATGGGAAATGTCTAAGAAACGTAAAAATGGCACTTGGTCGGATGAGTATGCAGAGCAAGCGTATGATGATCTCAAAGCATTGCATCAGAAACAACTGGATAAATATGGAGAAGATAATCTCACTCCACAAGAGGCTTTTGAGATTGTCCTTAAACATAAAAAAGGGTCAAATCATCAAAGGGGCATGGGACAAGGAGTATTGTCATTTCATTCTTATGTGAAGAAGGATATTACAAAGGTTCATGAGCAAGAGAGGATTGATACTGAAGTGAATAAAATAGTGTCTGAAATTAATGAAACTTATGAAGCTCGTATCCGTGCTCTAGAGGAAAGATTAGCTTCTTTACCACGTTCAGAGGTATATATAGTTCTCGTACATTTTTATGTATTTTAAGACGCATATGTTACTGTTTATCGGCCTAGCTATCCTTTGTATACAGGCATCAGGTAATTCATCTCAGTATGTTCATTTCGCTTCCAAGGAGCATAGCCCCCTTGAATGATACAAGGTACTGATTCATCTTTGAAATATTTATTACTGTTTCTCATTGGCTTCCCACTTAATTAGCTGCTTTCATTTCGTGGTGAATCACTTTGTACAGTTTGCCACTTTGTACATTTTGTGGCCTTGTTTTCTGCACTATTTGATTGGTCTGATGTCAATTCATTTGAAGTAACTACCTGTTTTATCTCTGCCTTTTTCTCACTCAATAAGTTAGGGTTAGATAATGATAATTTGGGTCACTACATTCAGCATCCAGAATTGCAGAGGCAGTCAATTTTGAATCTTTAGTTCCTATCTACTACACCGCTTGCTTTGGTGGTTGAGTTTGTAGTGCAGACTTGAAAGTTGAAACTTTGAACCTAACTTTGATTGGTCTTAGGTTATGAAATGTGGCGTTATATTTCAGTGTCTGAGTAACCTCTAAATGTCTTGCAAAGCATACAAGGACAGTACAAACATGGTCCCTTATAATTACAGTTTTATTTTCTTAGAGTTTTAGATGTTTATTTTCTTAGAATTCTTTGGTTATTACGTATAATATTGTACATAGATTTCTTTGAAGTAAAATTTAATAAATAACACTAATATTTATTATTAGTGTCATTTAACTCTTTTGTATATTTCCCATAGACATATGATCATGCCTTCAGCTCTGGTTGCTATGTTCATTTTAAACACTATTTAATTTGTCTTACTAGATTATTTCTTTATTAATTTTATTTTTTAATATGCAGATCAAGGGTGAATATGAAAGATGTCATTCAGTTTCTATGACTTTGGGTGGAATTACATTCGAGATAGATGTGACAAGATGAAATGAAAAGATGAAGTTTAGATGTTAAGCATTTATGATACTATAACTGTAACGCCCCAAAATATATCCTAGAATTATTAGTGAATAAATAATCAATTAATCAAATTTGTTTTGATTAAAATAAATTATTGTTGGGCTTTGGGCCGATAAGAAATTTGTTTTGACATCTTATATCAAAATCTGGATAAGTCTCATAGTATGAGATAAATCCAATATGTGAACTATTTGTGTGGTCTTGATTGAGAACCTGAGTACAGACCCAAATCAAGAGTAAATAAAGAATTTGTTTAGAATGTAAATATTGAAATGATTTGTTGAAATAAATCATGAGAATAATTGATATGAATTAAATGAGAGAACCTTTTATGAGAAAGGCCAATTAAACCAATTTTGACTCTGTTAAGGTCAAACACCCAAAAATGTGGTGTCGGAAAAAGTATTACAAATAAATATAAAAATTATATCGTTGGATAGAGTTTAAATGTACGATCACAACGGTGCAAACGGATTTCAATTTGGAGAAAGTTGGAACAAAAAGTGTACCTTAATTGGGACCAAAATTAGTCCCAATCAGGGACTACACACCAAACGGCGCCATGTTCAATTACGCCGATTCCAAAATCTGAATCACCAATCAAGGAAGCTGCAAACTCCCTGTCTTCTTCTTCTTCCTTCTCCTATAAAAGACTACCACAACTCCCTCCATTCTTCACCATTTCTTACAAAGTTTCATTCTATTCTGTTGCTGGGAGTGAGGAGAACGTGGTGGTGCTGTCGTATTGGTGTGAGATCGCCGGAGTTGAGAGTAATCATCGCCGGAAGTTTCGCTGGAAAATTCTCAAAACCTTCAATAAGCTTCGAGGTAAGCCCGTAGATATATCTAGTGACTAGAATGTTCGTATAGATCGTTTCTACGTTCATAAACGATCGTTTGGTTGAGTTTTGTGTTTGACATGCTTGAAGAACCAAGAATCATTAACCTTGAAATTGATGTTAAAACTATAAATTAGTGATGCTAAAATGATCTATGAACCTTAGAGAACATCTCTATATAGTTTCGTTGAAGTTCGATAACTAAAAACGGTATTTCCGAAATTGGACCCGAACGAAGAAGAAGATGAACAGTGGCTGAAACACCACTGTCTGGATCGATCCAGGGGCTTGGATCGATCCCCTCGGAGTGATTTTTCATAGTTTGGATCGATCCCCCGAAGTTCTGATCCGAAAATTTGTCTGAAAACGCTATTTTTGAGCTCTAAAATCTTATTTTTGATACCAATTGATTATGATCATTATAAAAATGATTTACCACAATAAAAATGATGTTTTTGACAAATAAAATGTTATGTGGTGCATGACGGTAAGTTCGGGTGTTAACACTCGAAGCTAGGCCGCTATTTGTTATCGAATGTTATGTTGATTGATGAGTATGATGAATGATTATTATGATGATTATGGCTTGATGAAACCACTGATTAAAATGATTATCAAGGATTAAATTATGTATTGAAATGAATATGTTGATGATTATGAAATGATTTGGATTGTAAGGATATCTAGAAGAACTCTAAAATATACCTAGGTTGACTTTGGTTTCTAAGACTATCTAGAAGACCTCTAAGATAGCTTAGAAATAGGCCTTGCGGGTATAATCATGAGTATTCGGTGGCCTGGGTTAAAACGTACGTACGGGATCTACAAACCAAACTTGAGGCACTCGTTTGGGGATACCACCCAACCCGACAGTGAGCATTTTGGATCCGCTGTTCGGTTTTTGGATGACCTTGATCGAAGGTAAGTTTAAGATTTTGAAAACCTCTTTTGAAAATTTATATCTTAAACTAGGCCTAGCTTAAGGGTTAGATAAGAGTACCTTAAACTTGAATATAGTTTAACTATGTTAGACTAGAATTCGTTTAAGAGTTGGTAAACATCAAATAGATTGGCCTTAGACTAAGAATAGTTAAGGATATTGTTGAATAACAAATGATGAATATTGTATGATGTATGTTGAATAAAAATGTTGAATATGAATGATGAATATACATGTTGAATGATTGAATAATGATTGTTGAAAATTGTATATTGATTATTGAGTATCTGAACTGAACATTATGTGCATGATATCAAATGGTTGATTATGAATTGAGATTCAATTTATGTGGATGTTCGACGCATTAGATATGCTTACTCAGCTTTACCGCTGAGCGTGTAGTTTGTTTTATTTGCTACACGCAGGTCAATAGAATAATGTGACGTGATCCTGGAGGCAGACGGAGGCGAGATAGTCGGAATGGATGTGATGGTTTTGAATTAAAGAATATAAATAAATTATGTTTGTGGTTATAATTTATTAAGCTTCCGCAATATTGAAAACTCTGTACTGTATATGTTATGAAAAATATTATTGAGATTAATAAAGTGTGTTTGAAAAGTTTTAAATTTTACGATTACCAAGTTAAATACTTTAGTCCGAAAGGGCTGCAGACCTGGACGGATTAGGGTGTTACAATAACAAATTGTCATGTTTAGTACTATATTTATTTTATGTCAAAACCCTATTATATTAACAATTGTGAACCTTTGATAGTTTGGGATTGAATTATGAGTAGCATATATGTTTTGTTTTTATTATTATTATTTTACATCACTTTGCATATATTATTAAATGTAAAATTTATGTACAATACAAATATATATATATATATATATATATATATATATATATATATATTAATTCTTACTAATATTAGGTTTGCCACAAAAAGTGATAATTGTAGCAATTAATATTTGCTACTAAACATGGATTTTTGTGGCAAAGTATAATTTGTGGCATCCTAAATTTGCTACTAAATATGACTTTTTGTAGCAAATAATAAATTGTGGCAACTAAAATATGCCACTAAACATGACCTTTTGTGGCAAATATTTATTAGTGGCAAATCATAATTTGCTACAAAAACTATAATTTTTGTGGCAAATTTAAATTTGCCACAAATACCTTTTGTAACGGGGTATCTGTGGCAACCTTGTGGCAAATTCCAAAATTGCTACAAATAACTATTGTGGCTAATTTTTTATGTTTTGTGGCAAAATTTGGTGCTACAAAATTTCAAGTTTTTTGTAGTGATGTTAGTGTAAAATTTTGTTAACACACAAGCATTTTTTATCAATGTGAACCATCAAAACATTAGTATAAATCCTTGGTGTAAGTTGTGATGCACATTTTTATATAAAGTGTAGCATGAATATAAGTTTTTACCTTAAGGATGAGAGCTTTCTTGATTATTGCAAGCTTAGCTAACTTCAATTCTTGATCCATCCATCCATCCAAATCTATTACTCCGTACAACCATGTTAGAAGACACGTCATAGATAGTCTTACAACCCACAGGTTCCTTAATTACGATTTCGATTAAAAGATCTGCGATCCCAGATCCATCCACGGCTTCTCCCGATCCGATTCCCAAACAGAAACCCTAGGGTTCCATGGAAGACCACACCATCACAGGAGGAGAGATGCCTATCAAAGAAAGGGAAGAATACAATCAGAAGAAAGATGAATTTCTTGAAAAATTAGATTCTTTGAGATCTATCAGTCTCCTCTTCTACCGCGAGAACTATCCGCTGGCCCTCGCGCTTGGCCCACGCGGCATAGATAAAAAGATGGAATGGTTGTTTTCCTGGACTGCCGAGCTGTAAGTACGGAGTAGCTTTTTAAAGATATATGTGTGTGTGTGTGTGCGCTTGTTGTGATATTTGGGTTTTAACAACATATTCAACGTGATTTGATTTTTCCATTCACTAGTCCTCTCGAAGGAATTGATCTGAGTCCGAGCGTGAAACACTTAACTTTACCGAGTTGGCACCACTTACTCATCACATTGGTGATGATTACGTTCTTGGGAAGACTGCGTTTGGCAGATATATTCATGCCGAAGGCTTCTTCATCAAAACCTGGGACCTATTTTATCCTATCCGTCACATAATTGATTTGCATCCCCAAAGACTGAGAGTATGCCTTTCCCCTCCTGGTGGAATCTAATAGTAGCTATTAATATTAAAATATAAGCATATAAAATAATACATGTGATCTTCTTGTATTTGTTTCAGAATGAGATTATGATTTTAACTGGCATGAAACATAAATGCCTCCCAAAACTACGGGGATACTCCATTGACAAACAGTTTGCTGTTGTCTATCAACAAGAACCCAGTTGGACTCTGCAAGATATTCTTTTTCGCCCTGGTAATTGATCTCCTATCTTTAATTAAGCCATACATTTATTGGCAACTTTGACAAAAATGTGGGTGTTACCTCATTAATTTCCACGTCAGACTTAACGCTTACTTGGGATGCGAGAATGGAGGTGGCTGCCCAGATTGCTTCTTTGATGGAGTATTTTCACAGCATGGGCAAGACTCTTGGAAGTATGGATCCGCAGAACATACTAGTTGACAAGGTGGTTCAAAGCACATATATTTTCCTACTCCGGGACTTGTTTTTTTTATATATATAAAAAAAAGTGGAATTGTATTTTCAAGTATTGTCATGTTTACGCAGGACATTAACATCAAACTGTGTGAGTTTGGTCTGTGTGGCACCATAGATGCGGTAAGAACTCGGTATAAAAATTATCCGGTAAATCCTCATGATGCCTTGTGGCTTACCGGCGGGATGTATAGTTTCCAAGTTTCCGAGCTTATGCTTTACCAAGCTCGAAATCCTATGGAAGTAGGTATGTATGTTTTGAATATGTGAGCCTGTCCTTACTGATCTCAACTAATGTTTTTTGTTTATCGCAATGTTAAATCCATCATCATTAATTTTATGTTTTCACCACATCCATGATCATGACTCCCCCTTCCCCCGCAATGGGCGGGAGCCATTGAGGCACTGGGGTAATGTTGTTGTGCCACATATTGCATGAGTTCTGAATTGTAAATCAATAACAGATCTCGATAATGTTAGCTCGTAAGCAATCTTAAGTATTTTCCAACTAAAAATAAATAAACTTAAATGTCAAATCTTGTTGTTTCACGCGTGGCTTCATTTCTTTTCACATTCATCTTTATATACCCGCACATCATCCTTCCGTCCGTCTTTATTTCTACAATCTTTGTCATTTGCACATGTAGGTGGTTAACGTGGCCAACATAACCACCTACAGCATTTATAGTCAAATTGCCGTCATATGAAACTCATCCATTAGCTTGTGCTAGTCAGAAAAGAATACGCAAATCTATATCCTATTGATTGAGAAGTAAATGGAGATTTACGAGAGCAACTCAATCATTCATCTCATGATCTGAGTTTTATATGGATGACATAAATCTGTGCAAGGCATCTCTATCTTCAGAGGAGAGAGATAGCGTGCTTTCATCACTCATTGAAGGGGGATTGGATGAGATCAACAACCCTATAATAGCTAGAAAGATAAGAAAGTGTAAGTGTACCTTCTGTAGTTTCGAGTAGGAACAAGGCCTGCGCGTGCATAGACTCTCCATAGCCTGTTAATGCTCAGGGAATGTATGTTTTAATTATTTTAACGACAAGCAGTCGAGCACATCTGGAGGCATTGGTAGTAACTAAAGTCGGTCATGACACAATGAGCCGGAATCCTTGATGGCTCTCGTTCTGGAGGAGGGTGTTGTTTAGAGCCCCGTGTGGTATTTGGAGCTCACTTTGGCAAAATAAATCTGTTTCAACATTTTTTTTTGCATTTACCAACTATTTGAGGGGCCCGGGACATGAGCAAACTATTGTTTGTAAATCTTAAGGGATTTCTGAGTTGGAATAGTTAATCATCTTAAAGAACTTATAGTGCTCATTGATGCTTTTGAAGAGCTTTGGACCTGTGCAGACCTGGTTCACACTGTACGGGGATGAGTGAATGTCATGTGTCCATTTTATAATATTGTTTTGTTGTTTGTCGTTTTACTTGGAATAATGACTGAGTGATTGACAAGTCTTGTGGTGAATATATAATGAGTGTTGCAGTGGAATGGACAGCCAAGTGTGATATATATTGCTTTGGTTGCCTGCTTCTAGAGTTGATAAGTGAAGAGCATGAGCACAGTTTAGAAAGCAGATATGATGATTTGAAGGATTGGGCTACACAGAAACTTGCTAAGAAATGCGAGAAGAATCTCGTGGACAAACGCCTCAACGAAGACAGCAATGTTGGCGTTAAAACTACGAGAATGGTGATGGCCTGTTTGAATAAATGTCCAGCCGAACGCCCGGAGGCAAAACGTCTTTTCAGGGCACTTGAGGGTTTGAAGGAAGAAAAGAATGGAGCTGCCCAGAAACAGAGCGGTTTGGAGCATGAGGACAGCCTCGGCCTACGGAAGTGGCAGAGGACTGGAGAAGAGTGTGTTCGGGCTGATTAGTGGGACGCGCTTCAGTTTTACTACTACTACTACAAGGTATGTGTGGTGTCTTTGTGTGTGTGTGTTTTTTTTATTGTGTTTATTTGGATCTCTTGCCAATTGTGGTGAATGCCTTTGTTAAAGGACATGGGACAAGTGGCAAACTACCGTTGTACAAGTAATACTTTGTGTGTTTCGAATGCTGTACGCAGTTCATCTTAACTTCAATTGTGGGTTTCAAACTCACATTTCTCTCTATTGCCGTGTGCACGCTTTTTATTCCAACAAGAGCACTTGTCTTTTACTCCTTGTGAATAGGAGTCTTTATATTGTGACCTTGCCATTCTTACATGCATTTGAAAACAGAGGAATGCTAGGGATATGCCAAATGGTGTACTCCATTTGTATACCATGCATCTTCATTTTTTTATTTTTTCTATTTGTACACCTGGCATCTGATAGAAGGCAATGAGACACTTGGGCTGAACCATACTAAAAGATTGAATCTAATCTGTTACTTAGTTTAACTCAAGAGCTTATATACCGGTTTATTTTCTCTTCAAGTTTCGATGTGGGATACTCTTTAACATCATTTTCATTTTTTTTAATTTTAATTTTTCTCTTGCTTTTGTATGGGGGGATGTAGACCTAGCAAAACAAAATCAGAATCGATTACCTTAACTGAATTATACGAAATTGAAACTGATATGATCTAAAAAATGGACTCTGACTTTTTTCTTGTTCCTTCTAGTTTTTCCTTTCATTTTTTCCAGTTTCTTCCTGTTTATCCAGTTTCTTATGGTTTTTTTAATTATTCCCATTTTCTTCCAACTTTTTCTACTCTCCAACAAATTACTGTGAAAATGATATATTTTTAATGTGATAATAATAATAATAATAATAATTATTACAAATGCTATGTTCATAACTATAGTTTATAAATTATTTTTTTAATCTCATTAATTTTTTCTTCAACTTTGAAATATGAATAAGACAATTTTTTTGTATATTAATATACATGATAAAACAGCAAAACATCAATATGTTAAACTATATTAAAAAATTATGGAAAAAATAGTGACATAATTTTTCTATATTAAATTTTTTTTATATATTCCAATTTTTTATAGTTTTTCTAGTTTCTTCTAGATTGGGATGTAAATTCTCATGCGTTATCTATGCGAATATTTTTAATTTGATTTTCTGGAAAATGCGCTCTTAATTGCGTGATTTGGGATAAAAGTCACGCAAAAAATACATTTCTAGTAGTTAAAAGACTCATATGTGACCATCGGGAGGAAACATCAATCAACACTAAGAAATAACGGAATTGTCCACATTGAGAGTGTGACATATGCAAAATGATATTAAAAACTAAATGGAAGAGTAAAAAACAAAAATTAAAATTCGCTATTAATTAAAATATCTAATAATATGATATAAAAAATTTTATCAAAACTACCCCTAAAGTAAGTCACTCCTCTCCACCTTATCTTCTCATTCATCGTCACCCATCCTAAAAAGTAATGGTAATTTTCGAATGTCAACGCTATTTTTTCTCTTCCTTAAATATGCCTCAAAGTCAGAACGGACGATTTAAAATTCGACAGAGAGAGTATTATTTTACTTATGGTTGACTAGATCGTTGACTCGAGGGTTGACTAATTAACACTTGACCCACTAGCTTGTTGTGATACACGTATGCTCTAGTTTGTAGAACATTGATTCAGGGATTGATTCAGGGATGTAAGTACGTATAAACTCTTTAAAATAATTCTGTCATTTACTCATTTTGTTATAATATATATGCGCGTACATATTTAGTGTGTGTGTGTGTGTATAAGTGTGTCGTGCACAAAGTATTTTTTTTTTTTGAAAATGAAAATTTTATCATTATTTAATACGGAAGAAAACCGAAGATTCATCAATGATTAGAGCCCCCCTGACAATTTTGGGTAGATGCTCCAATTGAGAATACATACATTACATACATTACATACGTGTGTGCGTGCGTGCGTGCGTGCGTACATACATACATACATACATACATACATACATACATACATACATACATACATACATACATACATACATACATACATACATACATACATACATACATACATACATACATACATACATACATACATACATACATACATACATACATACATACATACATACATACATACATACATTCATACATACATACATACATACATACATACATACATACATACATACATACATACATACATA